GTCGTAGGCGACGTTCCAGAGGTCCGGGCCCAGTATGGATCCTTGAGCAGCACCAGAAGTTACATCCATCGTCCTGGAGCCTTCTGTAGTGTCGTAAATGATGAGGCGGTACCGGAGGTAGTCCTCTATCATGCGCATGAGGTATGCCGGGACGTGGAAAGTGTTCTCCAGTGCGTCGAGCATATCGCACCACCTCGCGGAATTAAATGCGTTTCGCACATCAAGTGTTACAAGCAGCACAACCCGACGAGAATAGTTGTTAAACTCCTCAGCTCTCATTACGGCTCGCTTTACCTCCTCAATAGCGTCAACCGTTGACCGTCCCTTCCTGAAACCGTACTGACGAGGGGATAGATTCCCTGCAGCAACCACGGCTGAATTCAGTCGGGAACGGATCAACTTTTCCAAGACTTTCCCAGCAGTGTCCAACATACAGAGAGGTCTGTAAGAGGAGGGTAGGTCTGGGTTTCCTTTTCCCTTCCCCACGAGCACAAGCCTAGCTGTTTTCCAGCAGAAAGGAAACTTCCCCTCGGCCAGACAGGCATTGTACGTGCTCAAAAGGATTTGTGGGTTTATTGAAAAGACTTTCTTCAGGGCCTCACCAGGTACCCCATCCGGTCCAGGAGCCTTGTTGTTCTTCAGGGACAGAACGGCCGCCTCCAACTCCTCGACACGGAAAAGCGGTACGTCGTCCACCCTTCCGAACTCCCGCAATGGGCGCAGTGTGTGAGTCGGGAAAAGGGACTTTACGATCCTCTCCATAGAGGCCCCGTCCATAACGGAAGGTGGAGAGCGGGTGCCAAGCTTCTTGGTTACTATCTTGTAACCAAGGCCCCACGGATCGGAATCGACATCGTCCCTTAATTTCTCCCAGCAACTGCGTTTGCTCCGGTTAATGGCCCGGCGAAGAGACTTCCTAGCCACCTTGTAAGCTTTAGACTTAAGACGTCTATCTTCAGGTTCTCTGGCCCTGGTAGCAAGACGTCTGGCTCTCAATGATGCCCGTCGTAGTTCTGCGATCTCGGTTGTCCACCAGTACACAGGTCGCTTATCGCACCGGGATCTCCTGCGAGGCATTGACTCTTCACAGGCCGAGACTATCAGCCTCATCAATGATGTAACTGATGTCTCTGCGTGAGCCACGCCAGATGCAGCAGGTACCACTGGCTCTCCCCGTAGTATGACTTCGGTGAATTTGGCCACGTCCAGCTTTTTGGTGTTCCACCGAACGGGCACCTGCCGAGACACGGTAGCTTGTCTCTGATGACTATCCATGACATCAAAAATGATGTACTGGTGGTCACTGGCCGTATAATCCTCTAGGACTCTCCAGGCTCGTATCCTCGGCAAGAGGGACTCAGATGCAAGCGTGATGTCTGGGATCGTTCCCCTCATTCCGGGACGCTGGAAAGTTGGCGTGTTGCCCTCGTTTATGACAACAAGTCCAGCCCTGGCAGCAAAGTCCAGGATGTACTTCCCCCGGGAATTAGTGAGAGTCATTCCCCACTCGACAGCCCTAGCATTGAAATCCCCCGCCACGACAACGTGCCCGGCGGTATCGCGCACTCTCTCTTCCAGGCGGTCTATCTTTCCACGAAAGTCACGGATAGCCTCGTTGGGGGTGAGGTATACACTAAAGTAAGTGACATCCCCGCACCGGACCCAAACGAATCCTCGGCCCTTCGCGTGACTCCTTACCTGCACTTTAGCTGTATTACGAACCCAGAACGCAGCAGTACCAAGTGTATCGGGAAACCAAAGAGATGAGTCCCTGTCCCGGTACTGGTACTGTTCGCTGACCAAGAGCGCGTCAACACCGTGTTCGAGGGCAAGCTGACTGAGAAGCGCGTCAGCCGTCCTGGATCGATCTACATTGCACTGGAGGATCCTTATCTTCGTGGTTGGGCTTTCGCTTGTTGTAGTGCGCCTTTAAATGCACTGCACTGCCCAGACCCAGCTATATGTTTAGCGTTTTTATCATTGAGGCCTTTCTCCTTACAGAGGAAACAGGTCTCAACTTTACAGTCCCTACGAGTGTGACCCACCTCCCCGCATCGAAGGCAGTTCTTGCCTCGGTCGGGCCCTTCGCAGTTTCGGGAGGAATGGCCGAAATCAAGGCATTTAAAACACCTCGTTACTTCCACCCTCCGTCTCAACCTGCAATTAACCCATCCAACCCTCAAATGCTGGAGTGCCAAAACCTTACTGGCGTTTGCGTCTGCCATTTCGGCGACCGCCATCCGCTGTTGACTCCGGTTTGGTTTCGTGAGCCACACCCTCAGACTAGCCGTTTGTCCGGCAAGCTCGGGGACAGCTTTTTTTAGGGCATCAATGACGTCATCCTCCGTTGACACACAATCCATATCCCGAACCTCGACGGACGTCTTGGGTTCGAGAGCACGAACGGTGCCCTGACCTTCCACAGCTGCCTTTAGTTCGGCAGCAAAGGCGGCTTTATCTTTAGACTTAACCAGTTCGAGGAGGACGTCCCCGTCCCGGGTTTGTCTAATCGACCGTACAACCGTGTCGGTTTGCTCTGGCTTAGCCTTGGCCTTGATAACACCCAAGACTTCGGCGAATGATCTTCCCTCCAAAGGCTTGACCAAAATTGCCTCAGTCCTGGGCTTTTTGGGCCGCGACTTTTTAGCGAGTGCCGAGCCAGGCACAGCTTGGGCCACGCCGGTCGACTGCGCCCTCACTGCCACATATGTCTTGGAGCCGACTTCCGCGTGCCTCAATTTCCTCTTCTCCTTTTTCGTAAGGCGCTTTTCCCACACAGTCCCAGATGGTGTTTCTACGACTGACCCCTTTCGGGAGCTACCCTCAATGGGTGTCGCAGGTTGCTGTGGCTGTTGAGGTTTCGCTGGAGCGGCAACTACGTCAGAGAAGGACCTAGAAGTCTGGGTCGCCTTGACCTTAACTTTAGGCTTTGCTGTCTGAACAACCTCTTCTCTTTTTGGAGGGCTTTCTGATGTAGGCCTCCTGCGTTTCTTGGAAGGTCGCGCATTGTCGTCAGGTAGGGACACCAGCTTCTCGGCGATCCTTTCCATGGCCGCCTTGCTCACCAGCCGGCAGGCGAAGACAAAACCAAGGTCGTCCTCGAGCTTAGCCATACCATTTTTAACCACTTGGTTAACTCCTCTCTGCGTCTTAAAGGTTTCAAGCATTGCCTTTATGGTCTGCTCCATGTTTCGAAGCCGGTTTTCAATGTCATTTTCTGCGTCGAGATATTGCTGACGCAGAAGTACCATTCCCGACACTTCCAAATCTAACGCTGTTGTTAGGGATTCCTCCGGCATCCCTTCACCAGACTTAGAGGGTGGTCCACCGTTTCCTTCTCCACTTGTCAAGGGAGATCCCAAAGTCAAGTCTTTTGTACACCTGAAAGATGCAGGTGGAGGGGACGTCTTCACGTCTTTCAATGTTGGCGATCTCTGGACCTTGGAGCTTCGCCCAAAAGGGTCTCGCTCTACTTCCGACTTCTTTTCTTGCTCATTCGAGCTACTTATTAAAGATGTGTTCAGGGTATTTGTTATAAAAGCCATCTTGTGTTTACCAGCGCATCGTGCGGCAAGGGGCGGCCCGGAATAGTCAGGAACGGGTATACCCTCGGGGACAGCGCCCCTACCCCAGTTCCCCGAGGCCAAACCTCCGTTTTCCCAGCACCGGATACCTGACGTGCCGGGGGTCACCCGTCACAATGTAGAGCCCGACCTCTACATCCATGCCGCACTCCCTGACCAAGGACCGAAGTGGCTGGTTTCTCACGACTCACTGAGAATACCCATCGGCAGTGCAGAGCACACATCAACCCCTGCAAACACAACAGGGGCACTCCCAAGGACTCCCAGTGAGAGCGTCGGTCACCCTTTTAGTCGCCTCTTACGACAAGCCCGGGAAGGCTGCGGTTCTATTCTAACCCCGAAACCGCAGGGGGAACATTTATTAACACTAAAACGGGGTTTGAATAAATAATTAACTGTCGAATCATGTCCATGCCTAATAGCTTTTGTAAATTTATTGATTGTACAAAATACGATTTTCAGCATTCATTCCATAATAAATCTATGGATTCAACGACATAGTTAAATTCTGAAACTTTACATTTAAAACCGGATATCCCAACTATAAAATTGTACAGATGTTCGTAAAAGGCGTTGACATTAGCATATTTCATCACTAGGCCATAAAATGACTCTTTTCGACCCAAGCTCAAGTTTTAAAAATGAACGAGGGTTAATGACACCTTTTCCCCGTGTGATGAACAATATTTTTCTTCATTCAACAAACTAAGCTATAATAATAAATACTTTTCATGAAAAGATAACCTCTCAAAACGACTTTCAATTTGTTTTCAATTTCGCTTATGAAAACAAGCAGCAGTTAAGTAGGCGATTTGATAGTTTTGTTCAATTAATTCGTTAGTGATTCATCACCATTCATCAGTTTGATTCAATTCATTTGTTAGTCTATATCGAACTATTCACAAGAAGGGAACAATAAGTTACAAAAGATGAAATCAATCGTTACATAATTTCGATACATGCGTAGTTTAAACCTGAGTTTACAACAGCTGAACTTTACACTCCATAAGGACTAAAAAGGCTCTTTACTAGCTAGAGACTAAAAAGGCTCTTTGTTTTCAGTACTGTATTCAAAGTTAACAATTTTACTATTCTTGACTTTTCATTATAATTTTTTGAAAGAAATTAGGAATTTAATTTCTACTATGATAGTATTTTCTTAGTATTTATAGTATATTATTTATAGTATTTAACTAGTAGGTAGCTAAATAGTTGACTAAGTAATGTTAAAGAATATTTGTTTCGGGCCAGAGGATACAGCCATGTACGTTTGTGGTTTGTGATAGGGCGGTATAGAACCATGATGTAATAGCTTGCAGGGGCTGCAAATCACATTACATAATAGCGTCAACTACACCTGCTCAACAGTCATGTTTGTGAATACAACACCTTCATGTGTCAACACAAATCTACCGACTAAACGCTGCTAACTCCGCCTACATCAACACAAACAATTAGACCTTCTGAACATAATCCGCGTTTGTGTGGACAAATTTCTCAATTATAGACAAGCGAGGTTACACATCACGATTCAATTATACGTTTATTCGCTTCCAAAATGTACAGAGAAGTTTTAATTCCCACACATCTTTTCGTTATGTAATTTTAAGTCTGAAAGGTTAATTTGATTATGCATTGAGCTAAAAGTTAAAGTATAAAACTTTACGTTCTTTTAGATAAGTTTCAAACGTTCGGTTATGTGATTAAGCAACATTATCCAACTCAATTTAAGAAGAGATGGTTGTTCGGTACATCAAACACAGTATTAAAGCTTCATTTTCTTACTCAACTTGCAATTATGAGATAAATATACTTTACAACCCACTATTTATCGTATTTCTTGTTCATTATAACTTTAGAACTGAGTCCCATTAAAACTTCCCATTAAATCCCATTAACTTTTTTTCCAAATGCTTCACATAATGTTACTATAATCTATAAGTAGAGATAGTAATCAATCGAACTCACTACAGAGAAAATAATCTCGATATGTTCGACATTCAGTAATACACATGTTTCAGTAATAAATATCTATTCTCACTACCTTCAGATACATTGACACTTAAAATTCCGGAGCGATATTGCAGTAAATAAACCGATGTCTCAAAAAAGTAATCTCTGATCTTTTTAATTAAATGTTATAAATTTTTGTTTAATTAACTGTTCAATATTTCGTAGTTTTTGTGAAACATTGATGGCTTTATACTGATAAAAAGGCAAGGTTTTTTTCGTATTTCATGCAGCCAAAAACATTATTTATAACTCACATATTCTCTATTCATCTTTGCTTTCTGTATATTAAAGTGTTATATGTAGTGTGCACCGCTCGCTTTGTCCGTTGTATCATATGCAAATCCCTCGATTGTCTAGGGAAGCACATTAGATCGGATCGGATGGTTTATAGATTTTACATTATTGAGAGAGTGATTCCTTTGCACATTATAACATACAAATCAAGAAGTTAATAAATAAGGAAACTAAAAGTGTCACATGGGTTTGAAGTAAGTACCAGAAAATTGATCTCGCTATAAGTTAGAGCGAAACATTTCATCATGACGCCATATGAATTAGCATACCTATATACAGGTAACAACGTTTAAAATAGTTAAAAGTTATGTTTACGTTAACACATATTACAAGCAAAAAACACAGAGAAATATCTTAAGTCTATTTCTATTTTCATGTGTACAGTCAAACAGTAAAAACGGCTGATATAAATTTTACAATTAAAAGGCAAAAAAACACTTGTGCTTGTAGTGGGAAAATAAAGAACTGATTGAGTAAAAGTACATTTAAAGCAGGAAAATTAGCTGTCCCTTTTCTCTTGTTCTAAATTAGAGAGGTACAATTAGGTTTTAGATATCAGCTGTTATCGAAAATAACAGCTGTAGGGATTGATGTAAAAAATATTAACTCGTTAAATTGATAACTTGTGACAAATATATATACAACTTCAAACAAACGTTACTTAGCTTCGATTTATTCCAGTATATGGATTTATTTTAGACCGTTAAGCGAGAAATGTAAAAATCCTAAAGGGGCTCCTTAAAAGCAACATGAATGAACGCAATAGATACTAAAGAGTGTACAATCTTATCTTAACGTCTCCATTTCAACTTTTGCTGTTCAAACTTTCTCGTCACGATGGTCTTAACTGATTCAATCTTAACTTTGTTTGACATAAACGTTTGTCACTTGTAAAAGATTAATTTTCATGAATTAAAATAAAGAAGAAACGTGCAATCGATTTATTTATATTGATGTTCTGTACATACCCAGTATTTTTGCCTGGTATGACATATTTTTTAGACCACTTTTTTATTTAACTTTACGAAAAAAATCTATTACTGTAATCACTATCAGTGCAGAAAAAATGGATTAATCATATTATCTAACTACTTTTTATGCTAACATTTCACTCTTTATTTTCGCTGACAATGCAGTTTCATCTTCGAAATAAAACAGATGCTAAGAAGCAACTAGCATTGAAATATTAAAAAAATATTTCTGTCTAATCTATAATTGATACATTTAAAAATTAAAATAAATTAAGAATGTGCTTAGATAGGTTGGACAGAGTCACATTAGAAACTGTTTAATTTTTGTAAATATGGTGTTTATCGTTATTGAAGGTTTCTAAAGATTCTACGTTTTATCGATCCCTTTAAAATTATCTGCTACGCTATGAGGGATCCTGTAGAATAAGCTGGATTACTGAGCTCAGACTAACATTATAAATAATGCACCAGAGGGCACCAGTATGTGTGTTGTTTATGTACAAGGTACATTCATAAAAAGCTGAATGCCAACAAATCAATTTCCGCCAAACAATTATCTCAATGCAACATTTTCTAACTGCACAGTGACGAAATAGTAATTATTTGTGGAACTTGGTTTTAACCAATTATAAATCATCAGTATTACCATCGATTACCTCTGACACATACATAATCCACATTGGATCTATATATACTACATTATTAAATAGGCCAATAACATCACACAACCATATTTAATGTACAACAATAATTTACTAAGTTGCTTTGAATTAATTTACGGAAAAGGATATTTTAAAATGAAAAGTTTGATGTTAGTTATATGAATATGTAGATGCAATTGAGTGGTTTTAATAACTAACAAAATTTTAAACGAGAACATTTTAAACTTTGATACAACGTTAATGATTTATTTGTTAACAGGGTAAAGAATTGTTCTCTTAATCACGAATAATTGTTTTACTAACGAGGGAGACCTCACCATTAACAAAGTTTTGATGGTTTAAAAACCAAATTTAGTTACAAAGCTAAGTAGAAAATAATGACCAATGCTTCATCTCGTAATTGTTTTACAATTTAAACCAACTCGTAATGTATTTTGAATGGACAAAATTAAGTCGTGGTAGTAAAATTGTTATTCCATAAGTTATTATATTGTTCCTCTACTTCTACAATGTTTTTTGTAACATAACACCTTTCCACGCACTTGTTCCTTATAACGGCAGACTTTGTTTGATTGACTTTGATTTACCTATTGTGTATTTTATGTCTACATCTTAAATGACTTTATTGCTATGCGTTAAAATGTTTTTTCCTCGTATATTAGTTGTCTCTCCTTAACACAGAATAAAAGCTAGTGGTCGGGTTGTTAAGCCATCAAAGGCCCTACGTTAGTTAACACATCCTGTATAAGCTAATTTCCTAATTGCAAACACTGCAGTAGAAACACGTCTGTACACATTTAGTGCAGTTTGGAGGGTTTCCAAACATAGCAGTGTCAAGGTAAAGAGAAATATCCTATATTAAACCGCGTGATGGACTATTTAACAGTAAATTATTTAAGGAGAATATCATTGACTTTTGAACTGAATTAATTTCAATTGAGCAAGAATTTAAGAAGGCGAGCAAAAATCTGTTGTCGGTTGAGTGTTTGGTATTACAAAATAGGTAAAATAGTGCCACATGATAGAAAAAACTTATTGGGAAATGTAAATGTATAACAGTCAAACCTTGATAATTAAAATATATTTAATTTTCTGACTTTAGGTTCAATGTATACTGTATACCAGTGTGTCCCGTAACTCTCTGGACAAATGTTTATAGCGTTATTGCTTAGGTCAATACAAACACATTTCACCATAGGAACATGGGTCTGTGGTGCCTAGTTTCCGTCTGTCTGTATTTATGTGGTTTTTACAAAATAACTAATATCTACTAAACGGTTTGAGATACAACGTTGAGATTTTTCTAAAATGTCTATTGTATTAAGACCAATCTTTGCTTTAAATTGTACAAAAAATCATTAACCGTTTCAAAATGGCAGCCATTTTAAATATTTTATTCCAAATTTCACGAAAACCGTTAACTTTACAAAAAAATTGCAACAGACATAAAAGTTAGTAAATTTTATGTAATTCTCAAGGATACCTTATTTGTTAAAGTTGCATAAATAATAACAGAGAAATGTCTTATTTTCCAAATGCATGACAACTTATCTCCATTTAAACAATGCTATTACTCCTTTTACATTGTCTAAATATCTTTGCAATAATCTATTATACGTCAATCAGGTGTTTTAAAACATATCAGCTGATTCATTCATTTGTTTTTGTTATTTATAAGAATAACTTGGTAATCGATAATGAATAAAGCAAGAGGTTTAAAATAGATTTAAAAAATTATACGAAATAAGGGGTTTAGGATGCAATAAATGTAAATTGAGTTTTCTTGTTTTGTCCAAACTGCGTAAGAAAATTGATATAAAGGGGTTGTATGATTTACGTTATTAAAGTTTGATAATTAATTAGCAGAACGGAATGCCTCGGGCAGAGGGAGATACAATCTGCAAGCCCATTAAAACAGGGATATGGCTGTAGTTTAACAATGTGAATGGACCTTACTGTGAATTAAGTTTCACGTACATCCTTAGATGGGTTAAACATATTTGTATGCTTCTAAACTTCATAAAACTAAATTCTTTGCTAAAAGACTTTTGAGTGCTAATTTTATTTTTGATTTATACATTTGGTAATTTATGTATGAGATTTAAACAAAACAAATGCCAACTGTTGTTATTTCATCCATTTCATTATACTATTCATACATGATATAAAACATACTCTTTTCAAGATATTCATATTTAATAAATTGAACAACAATAAGAAGTGAAGCTGAGGCAAGCTATATTGAGAAAAAAAATTTAACTTTAAATAGGCACATATGGAATTTAATAGCATTAGACATCACTAAAAAATGGCATACATGAAGCACCTAAGCTTGCTGCAACAGCGACCTATTATTCGCTGGTTTACACACTGGTTGGTTTTTGCCGCGGCGGCACCATTTATATAAAAGGTTACACACAGGGATGTAGGAATGCCGCGTGGCCCGATAAGCAATTTCAAAGCAGTTATACATTTAACGAGAGCGATGGGAGATAATAAAGTGTTTTGTCGAAGTTGAGCAGGAAGAGTCGCTATTGCCACATTAAGATAACGCTGAAACCATCTTCAACGTTCCTTGTCCTCACTTCCGTACATCTTTTATTCAATTAACAATACTGACATTGACTTTCCATTCTTTAAGATAAATTGCCTTGGTAAGTCCAGGCAGAATTAAAGTTTTTTCTCTCGTCTGTATACAGGGTTAGTAAAAAGTGTGGAGACCCCCTGTTATTTTTTAACGGCCCATACTAGAAAAACTAAACTCGGCACACCTTTATGACATGTTATGAAGTACTTTTTGGGCATAACCGTCACTTGGTGTACATCCCCAAAACGGGGGATTTTGGGGGAAACTCAAAAGTTTTAAATGATAAGCCCCATCGAGTAACCCCTCATTTTGAAGGTCCTGGTAAACGAAAACTAACAACGCAAACTAGAGGTTTCTATCTCAATCCAGTAAAAAATGAAAGCTGATTGAAATACTTCGAAATTGGAAATAACTTGCAATTTTATATTCAACTAGCTTATGTACCCGTTCATTGCACGGGTTGGAAAAGAAGTATTGTAGGGGCAAGCAAGCAGTAAACTTTTGGGTCTAGTTGACTTAACAAAAAACTTGCGAGCTTTGAACTTTTTCTGGCTGAGTATTTTATATTGAAGCTGCATGGCTGATTACTTCAAAATATCAAAACAATTTTGAAATAGGTACTTGACTTGGTATGTAAAAACATTTAAAATAAAGATTATATTTTACGCTACTGTACTTTGAAATACAAATACTTAAAACTTATGTACTTTCATATATTGCAAGAATAATACTGCATACCAGGATGTGCTCTTCAGTAGTTGCTGGTATTGTTTTTATTTTTTGCATTTCTGGATAAACTTATTTAGTAAATACTGTAGATGTAACTTAATTTTGTGAATGGGTAATTAATTATTATGAAGAAATAAAAGTTATGATATTTCAAAACAGGTAACAACGTTTTTTAATTCATTTCTGTAAAACATTTTTATATACAATATTGACAACTTGGTTTCCTTTGGGGGAATATATACAAAGGTTCTTTCCATTCGAGACTCTTGAACATGCGACATAAAGTTGTCCATGACTGAAACAATCCTTCTGCAAGTTTATCCCTACAAATTTCATAGTTTGCCCTTGGGCTTTGTTGATAGTGATGGCAAAAGCCAGTTTCAAGGGGAACTGAATTCTTTTGAAATTAAACGGAAGATCTGTTGGGATTATTGGTATTCGTGGGATTACAACATGTTCCCCTTTAGCGCAACCTGTCATGATTTTGGCACTAATCAAATTACTTTTTAGTTCTGTTAAAACCAATCTGGTACCGTTGCAAAGTCTTGGCGCGTCCAAGTTGCGCATCAACAGAACAATTGCGCCAACTTTTAGTTTGAGTTTGTGTGAAGGAACTCCAGACAATTCTAAACTATTAAGAAATTCTGTAGGGTAGTTCGTAGCACTTTCCTCATCCACAACTGTATCAATTGAGAAAAATGTAATATCTTCAGAGGGCAATTTCTTAAGCAAAGCGTCATTTATAGTGTTTACTGTCTCATTTAAGGGTGATAAAATGCTGCGATCACAAAGCCACTCACTTGAAAGGTAGTTTGTTTCAAAGTCTGGAAACACGGAGGAAATAAGATCTTCAGTTGAGTCGACTAACTTGCAGAAATTTCTTGGTAGCTCGATTATTTGCTGCTCATTTGTTGGAATCTTACCTTCACCTATTTTCAGCAAGCTTAATGCAAATTCGCCGGCATTGCCGTCATTGTTTAAGATAACTCTCATGTTTTCGGTGAGGTAGAGTTTTGAAACATGATCCCATAGGCGCGAGGACTTTAAACAGGCACTTATTTCATCAGCAGGAGTGCCACGCTGGATTACAGGCAGTGTCTGTCTGAAGTCCCCAGCCATCAAAACAACTAAGCCTCCCATCAATGTGTTGCTACCCCGAATGTCACGAAGGGATCGATCCAAAGCTTCTAAAGCTCCTTTGTGGGCCATGGTGCACTCATACCAAACTATTAAACTGCATTGACGCAACAAAGCAGCTCTTTCTGAATCTTTGGGGATGTTGCATGTTGGCATTTCGACATTGGTTAAATTTAGTGGTAACTTAAATACAGAGTGGGCTGTTCTTCCTCCAGGCAAAAGGGTAGCTGCTATACCAGACGATGCTACTGCAATTACAATTTTATTTTCTTGTCTAATTGCAGCAAGTAAAATGTTGATGAGAAAAGTTTTGCCAGTGCCCCCAGGAGCATCCAGGAAGAATACTGCATCCTCTGCGTTTTCTATTTTGTTGATTATAGTGTCATAAATTTTTCTTTGGTGATTTGTAAGCTTTGGTAAGTTTTCTCTAACATATTCTTGAAGATCATTGGTGTTGTATGACAATTCTCTGAATATTTCTGAGTTTGCTTCAACATTAGTTTGAGGATTTGGGAGTCCAAAAAAACTCAGTTTCTTCCCACACATTTCAAAAACCTTCTTTTCAATATCACGAAGTGCCTCGTTGTACACAATATCATTCGCCTCTTCAAGTTGAAACCTGTGCACAATATCTTCAGACATTTGCATTCTGAATGTTTCCCAGAGTTCTGTTGGATTATACATTCCACATGAACTTATCATTATGGAGAAAAGGTAGCGGACGTGCGAGGATGATCTTGATTGTAATGCTTCTTCGAGTGTGTTCTTCCATATTTGGTCATCTTCTAAAAGACCCAAAGCTTGGCAGGTCTCTTTGTACGTATCAAAGACAGTATTTCCAACAGTTCTCAAATCAATGAAAGATTTTGGACCACGGATCTTGTGTAAAAGAATACGTAGACAAAAACATTCCACATTATTCGGATGAACAGTGTATACGCGTCCTATAGCAGCTGAGTACTTGACATCAGGATATTCTTCAACAGGTTGTCCCAATAGTCTTCGTTTGAATTCTTTTGTAGATGCATTCCAGGTGTAGTAGTGAGGTACATCTGGGTAAAGGAGACCTTGTGCAAATGGATCTGTTTCACATAGTTTAAAAAATGCAGTCAACGTGGTGTTAGGTGGATTTAATAGCTTTTCTTGCATGTTGTCTTCATTGAAATATATTCGCTGACCATTTTCAAGATGAACACTTAAATGTGTGACAGTAGGATATCTTTCATGCACAGGAAAGGAGAATATTCTCCAAAAAGCTTCATTTGTGCTAACGTAGCGGCCGGTCTGGTAAATTTCAATTTCATTTCTTTCTACATTTGCTTGCACATCTTTGTTTCGTAAGTTGAAAACTGCTTGGTCGCTACCCTTGTGAATATACTTACAAACATACTTGATTGACTTCACCGAACTGCAATACTCAACATTTATGTGAGCATTAAACATTTTGGAAAGGACAGGGTTGAATGGTACAATCCAAGAATTGTCTATATTGATAGGATTGTTTCTATTAGCTGCTATGGTGGTCTCTGCTGAATTTCCTCCATCTTCAGGACCGCGTCTTCTGTAAAGTGGGTAGCCATTTTCACTGGTTTGGGTATGGCTTATTAACGCCCTTGGGTAACTTTTGGAACATTTCCCATTTTTCATACATTTTGAGTTAATGTTTGTGACCCCACATGGGCCATGCACCATGTTTTTGATAACTATTTCATGCAATATTGGGTCTACATTAATATCTGGTATCTCTGCACTGATGATTAGATCAATTTGGTTTGGCTGGATTTTTTCTGTACACCATATTAATGCATGGATGTGTGGCAATCCACGTTTCTGCCACTCCACTGTATACAACCAACACTTCACGGATCCAAATATCTCCCCTTTAGTAATAACGGCGACAAACTTTGTAATTTTCAGATGGAATACTCTTGCAACTATGTCATGTCGATCAATGGCTCGTTGTCCAGGTAGTAGTTCTGATATGATTTCATCCCATTTTGGGTTACATGTCATAGTTACAAACAGATCTGGTCTACCATACTTTCGTACATAAGCTAGTGCGTCTTGTGCATGCTCGTGCATATACCTAGGACTGCCAGTGAATGATGAGGGTAGAATCACAAGTTGACCAACATTATTGGGATCAACGTTTCCATCATTAGCTACCGCATCTTGTAAGTGAACGTAGTTGTCCGATCTCAGCTTACTTTGGTTCCTTTTTAAAAAAAGAAGCCTCTCAGATTCAATTTTCACAAACATGTCAACGACAAACTGGTTCAAAAGCTGTTTGAACCGTAGAACTGTATTAAAGTCATTATTACGAACCATAAAATGAAAAGCATAGAACTCCATAGCAGAAATCTTTTTGTTTTGTAAAGGTTGATTAGTGACTGGATTGTGTTTTGGGATACAGAAATGGTATCCTTCCTGACCTTGCCAAAAGATCAAAGGATACTGTAAGGCATCGTAGAATCTGTGTGTCTCAGAAACCCTTACCAGTGTTTCGTCTCGTTTACGCAAGACAATGTCTCTACTTTCAATTTCATCATTGACAACTACAGCAGCTACTTCGTTTGTCGTTGGCGCATTGAACCGCCTCTCATGTTCACCTGGAGGACGCCTATCAGCTCGAATTACTACCTTGAGGTCCTCCTCTGGCCACTGTTCCATAGCTACTTTAAAGGTGTTGATGAGTTGATTGTGAGTGTGAAGTAAATTTTGTATATCATGTACAATATCATATGATAAACCTGAAATTACTTCTTGACGCCTGGCAGACTCTAAGGTTTCATCTCCTATGAAATAAACTTGTAAAAATTTGTGTTGCTGGTCAGGAGCTGGCAATAAAGATCCAAATTTATGGTAAATTTGGCCATGAGCAGTAAACGTAGTAGGAAAGCTGTGTGAAATTGTCGGACCAGAAGTTCCGAATGACGTCATTTGGAAACAGGAATTATATTGCCGCGTCTTCTTTAAAAATGATATTGATGGCGTAGTTTCTCCTATCAAAAGGGTTCTTAATGGTTCTGGTGGCTCGTCAATAGTTGGAAGTCTTACTTTACCTGAAGCGCAGCAAAGTCCAGAACTTTCCCCTTTCCACTTTAAGGCACCACAATGTCTGCAACATATATCCATGCTCCCAAGTTGAAGCAGACCATGACTTTGATAGGGAATATCTGTGTTATATGAAAAACATATACCTCTAAAGGGATCCCAGTTCATGCGCAGAAAACGTGCTCGTTCTTCCCTTCTGTGTCTTAAATCATTTTCATGTTCCACTGGTGTCTGGTTCGCTCTTCGGTTCACATGTCTTTCATTATCAGTAGAAAGACGAACTTCACGCTGAGCAGGCGTTTCGTCAGCACGTGAAGCAGTCATCCTACATGCATTTGCCGCTTGTCGGGCCTCACGCTGAGCAGGCGTTTCGTCAGCACGTAAAGCAGCCGTCCTGTATGCATTTGCTGTTTGTCGGGCCTCACGCTGAGCAGGCGTTTCAGCAGCTCGCCTTGAAGCAGTTGTTATTGAGCTCGTGAGCAAGCGTGCTTCTCGTTCTTCTATTGTTTCATTTCGTCGATACTCTGCAACTCTTCTGGCATTTTTAGATTTTTGAGATAAGTTACTTTTTCTCTTAGGCATTATTAGGCATAAACTGTACTAATAAATATATCATATTTAAGCATTAAATGCTCCTAATATTCACCTAAGCGAATCTGTACTAAATAAATATTAATAAATAGATCAATTCAAGAGTAAATAGATCAATTTAAGAGTTAGTTACAATAAATAGTAAATGTTAAATCAAAATACAATTTTAAAGCAGAAACACAAACATTTGTCATAACAACACTGCAGGATCAACAACTAAGCTAACAATAATAACATCTAACATCTGTGATTATTAAAGACAGTTGAAGAGGACAAAATGTTAAATAATGTTTACATTCGGGCTAGTGACATCATTATATTTTAAATTTATAATCCTTATCCTCTCTGTTCTAATATTCGTGCATTATTTAATATGTTTGAACCAGCTGTGTGGAATTGTTAAATCAAAGTTCATTGACAGTTAGTTCTGCTTGTTTACATAAGTTCATTGACAGTTAGTTCTGCTTGTTTACATTTTTAAACTTTCTAGGTGTGTTCTTTGTTACCATGGATACCATCAATCAATATTTACTTTTAAATCTCTCACCTCCGATTTTTGAAAGCCCACGGGGCAGAGCCCTGGGACAATATCGAAGCGGGAATAGTTCTATATGTATCCTTAGAGCTGTAGGTTCATTTGTGTGCAATTTGAGCCCAGTACGTTCAGTACTTTTTGAGATTAGCTCATACAAACACACACACAGACACCACCTCTTCTTTATAATAGTATAGATTAGCTGCCATATTTTACTGTGTTAAGATAGAGACCTATAGTTTACGTTGTTACTTTTCTTTTATTATGACCTTCAAAATGAGGGGTCACTCGATGGGGCTTATCATTTAAAATTTTTGAGTTTCCCCCAAAATCCCCCATTTTGGGTTTGGGAACTTATGAGAATTGTAATTGGCTGCCATTTTTTACTGAACTGAGATAGAGACCTCTAGTTTGCGTTGTTGGTTTTCTTTTACCTTCAAAATGAGGGGTCACTCGATGGGTTTTTGTATTTGAAATTTTTTAGTTTCCCCCCCCCTTCCTCCATTTTGGGGATGAACGCCAAGTGGCAGTTATGCCCAAAAAGTACTTCATAACATGCCACAATGGTGTGCCGAGTTTAGTTTTTTCTAGTATGGGCCGTTAAAAAAATAACAGGGGGTCTCCACAATTTTTACTAACTCTGTATTTAGTCATACACAGCACTTTTACCAATTTTAAATGTATAAATTATTTCATTGGTACTGTACATAATACACTCCAGTTAAAGGAAAAAATTTCTTACGTAAATAACTCTTCAATTAAGAGACGTTTAATTCTCTTAAAAAAGTTTTCATCGTTTTCTAAAAATAATGAAATATTACCGTGATACCGTGATTGTTTATAAGAAGTTTTATATTTTATTACTTTCTATGTGGAAGTTTCCTGGATTTTCCCATTGATTTTCATAAGGGATTAAATATTCACAAAAGAAAGGACAACATGTATGAGGTTTGTATAGTAGAGGTTTGTATAGTATAGTAAGACTCATAACAGAGTGTGGTTGTATTTCAACTGAAAAAAATATATTCGTCGTTGAACAAGTAAACGCGTGGAAAATGTTAAAAGAAATACGTAGTGTGATAATTTCTTTAATGCGGGTAGTTGATTTTACTATTTTTTTGTCAGGCACACCAACACATTTATAACGAACTGCAACCTATAGATAGGAGAGAAAAGGTATCATTATTTAAACTAGCATTATGTTGTAACTATTTTCAGCCTACACCAACTACTATTACAACTTACTCAACTCCACATAAAATTGCACTTCGTTAAAGGTAACGCAAGATATGAATGTTCAAGCTTCCTGTAAATGACAAGAGAATATACTCGTACAACACAGCGTTGGCAACATGACTGAAATCAATAAGGTGAAATGAAAGAAAAGGGATTTTTTTTAGTTTACTGTAACATGCCTACAGTTGAGGAGTAAGCAACTGAGAAAATACTATCCAACCTTATTTCCTCTTCTTTAAATGTCAGAGTTTCATTTTGTCTAAGGCTGTGTTTTTAATGTAGACTAACAATTCCTAAAAAAAAAATGCCAGAAACTACATCAAAATTTAATGTCCTTTTTCTGCTCACAAAAATATTTAAATATATTTTAGTCATTCGTGTAAAGCTTTTTTAAGTTCCTTCTTTTTATTTATTTCCAACCATATTAAAGCAGAATTTATGTAGGGAATTAACTAGATCAACTTTTAAAATATCTCAGAACATAAAACGTGAGTCTGTATGCATTTTGCAAGAAACAGTTACAAAATCAATTTTTTTTTATAATCTATGGGAGTGTTAAAAATAAATTATAAGCGAGGCATAAAATTACGCATTAGGATTATGATTAATATAATAAATATGTCTACATTTACCTACCTATCATCAAACCTAACCATCAACATTGAGTTGCCTATATTATACGTAAATGTGGCTATAACTTTATCCAAGCATATACCTGTAAGCTTTGAAGAAGTTTTGCCGTCTTTTAGAATTTCCAACTTAAATTGTTGCCCTTGAGGAAGGCCATGTCATTCAAGCAGCAAGTTGAAATACTTAAGGCCCCTCTAAATAAACATCTTAAACCATTTATCCAAGTAATGATGTTTTTTTTAACAAAATTGCATTTAATTCCATTAATTTAAAATTAAACACTGCGTATGAAATACAAGGAAGGGATGTTTAGAAGAATGTATATGGACTTAAGACTGATCTTAGCAAACAAAAAGTTATTTTGTTTGTAATAAAATGTTACAGAATTGAACCTTAAAATGAAATAATTTATTTACTTAGGAATCGGTAAGAAACAAATTTAAACTGGGGAAAGCTTGAAAAAAGTTATTATGTTATTAAAACACAATAAGCGTAAAATTAAAGGTTTTTCTTACGATCCTAACAAAGATTATTAAGAGAGAAAAAAAGTAAATATTAACGATTTAGGGATAGGCTAGAGTACGTTCCTTTTAATATTGCACAATGGGATGTAAAGTATTATTTTTAGCTTACTGTAAAAGTGTAAAATGAAAATACTAAGTAACGAAAGAATGTAAAGTAAGCGTAGTATTTTTGTCACTCGGGACTAAATTATGTGAATAATCAATCAATTGTTTAAAAAGGATGGCTCTATGGTGAACAAGGTATTTTATCTATATATTTCAAACAATACATATAGTCTTTGACTAATAAACCAAAAGAGTTAATGTTTCCCAAAATAATTGTAGCACATTAATCTTTGCTAAGTAGGCTTGGATAAATTTAGTTGGGGAAATGTTTCCCCAAATATGATCATGTTTATCCTTCCCTATGTTTACAACTCTTTACAAGTTTTTATAATAATGATTTTGTAGTTCCAACTTGAAAACACTGTTAAACTTGGTTGGTATTGCCATTGATCATTTATATAGCACAATACAAACTACTATCCAGCATGACGCTTTTATTTAAAAGGTCAAGAACAATTATTAACTTGGAAGTTGATATTGTGTGTGTTTTTGGCAAATGTCATTACATTACTACACAAGTTGCCTATTCAAACAAAGCTTTCTAAGAGTAAAATTAGTTGCGTTGCATGTTTGCGTGCACAGGTTTTTAGTATACAGATAAAACAATTCGTTTTTTATCGTTTATAATAATAACATTGCTATGGTTTTAGTTGACCTGTCATCTCTAGTTTCCATCGTCAACGTGTATAAGTAATGTAATATCGTAGACGGGCAAAAGGCTAATAACAGTTTCTATTTTACGATTTGCTGCAAAAGTAATAATCTTAGTTTGGCATAACAGAGTTTCGTCGGTTTTAGCTCAATGACATTATAAAACAGATTGTGTTTGTTAGTATAGTCAGCAGACGAATAACTTATTGAGATAATTGTGTTAAAAGTTGTCGATTATTATGATTCAATGATGATATACTCTTACTCTGTGATCTGTCTAGTTTTAAGCGTGTAATCAATATATTTTTATCTGAAATAAAAGAAATAAAAATACATATTATTTATTTATTGTTAATCTTTAGTTTAAGTTGTAATCACCTACAAACCTTTAGTTTAAGATTTAATCTATTTACTTCACTAGTGTGTTTTATGTAAGGATAAATTAGAAAAGCTTTGACGTATTGACGTTCAAAGAAAATCTACCATGTTAATTTAATTGGTTAATCTAATTAAAACATTTATTGCAGTTTAGTTGGACTGAGTAAAAATAATGATTAGGTCTTTCATGTGTTTTGTTAACTTGATGCTTTGCGTGCATAAACACAGCTAACTTTACCAGCTTAAGTCTATTGTAGACTGGAATTTGTAATGTCGTTTGTGTTGAACGATTAATCGATGAACAACCCCTATTGTCTGTGAACTTAGTGTGTGACAAACTAATTACAGCACGGCACTGCATCTATTAACCATATTGCCCTGTTCTTTGATAGTTTAGGATCCGAACGTAGGATTACACTTTGTGCATAGATTTATACTTTGGTGATACATCGAGCTGCGCTTGAACAGGCCGATATATCGAACCTCAATGGTTGATGTACGGCTAGCAGCTGCATGCACGTGCTTGCTAACGAGATCTACGCTGTACATGTTAAACACCAAATTACACTTGCATGATGATACACTGAGCTGTGATTGGATAAATCGATATATTGAACCGCAATTTCTGATGTAAGCTTTGTAGGATGAGCTATCATCGAAAATCATTAGGGCTAAAATACAATAATAATAATCTTTACAAGCTACAAAATTATGTGTGGGTGTTGTTTAAGTTTCTGATTAAAGGTATTTGTGAATGGTTGGCAATATACCTTCTAGGTAGTCCATTCTTATTGTTACTCAACTTATTGTTAATTCCTTTGCCTGTAAAATGCTAGTACAAATGGCTTGTTCATTACCTTACATGGTTTGATTCTTATGCTTATATTTGCTATACCTATACCATATTAAATAGAAACTCAAATTTTGCTATA